CCACACTCAAAGAATGAAAAGTCAAAAAAGTTTTCCTGCTCTGAGATTGGCACGATTTGTTGACGACCCTGTTCCTCTGGGTTTGGGAAAAGATTAAAACTTTCGACCACGACGCTAAAGATGTTGTGCGCCCAGAGTATTCGGTAAGATGGACAACAGTCTCCAATCAGTTCACAAATATCCTGACATGAGCAAGGTGCGCACGGTGCAGACAGAATGTCAATCATACCCGATGTTGATGTTGAAACAGACGGACAATTCTGGGAGCAATATTCGTTATGAAAGTCGAGTGGATAAGTTTGACCGGGAACCCAGAGCTTGTTATAATCCCCATCAACCATAGAGCTGGCGTCTGATGTTGAAACAACCACGACAACAACAATTGTCCTCAATAACGCAGGTAGGGTGCGCCTCATTGTAGTGCGTTTATTGAGTTTGGGGAATGAAAATTTCAGTCAGCGGGTGAATGTGGTGCAGTTGCAGACGAACGGGAGCGCACGCGGGTGGTTGTGGCTCAAATCCAAATACAATCCGCACTGGTTTGGTCTACGTGGAGTTTTAATTGTCTCACTTCCTTGCCCTGTTGCAGGCAAAACGTCGACCAGATGTTCAGTTGTATTAAGCTCACAATTTTGACTTTTAAAGATATAATTAATACTTTTTAAAATATTAGTTATTGCAGTTTCTTAATATTTAGTATTGGTTCCATGTGCCTAAAATATTTTGTCGAACTTCAAATTCTACATGCTGAAAAAAGCAAGAAAAAAATAATAAAATGTGAGTACAATTAGATCTAGTAAAAGAATTAAACTTTTTTTCATGTCCTGAAAAGTTTGGCTTTCTGGCTTCGTACACAGATTTATACTGTGTGCTGACAAAACAGGTCTCTGTTCAAAACAACATACTACGTTATGTCTGCTCGGCTTCAGCAATGCTACTAAAAGTAAAAGTAAAATCAAATTCGACACATGGTCTCCCTACACTGTCTCAACCGATTGTGACACAAGACACATAAAACCCTGGCTATTTATCAGGGACCTACTGCCGAATGTTAACTTTTATATAGAAAGACTTCAGCTAAATCTGCCGTTTTATGATAGAAAAACGTATATGCCAAAAATGACATTTTACAAGAGAGGCAAAAAACATTTTTTTACATTTTGTTTCTGTTTCAAACTAACTAAAATTTGATCGGTCTACTCTGATTATTTTATGTCACTATTCATACACCGGTCTAACTTTTGTCTGATTTTCTGAGATAAACAGCAAATAGTTGTGGAGCGCCTAATTGGAATCTCTTTTGTCAAAACAATATCGATATCTCATTAAGTCACAATGTTTATTTTCAAAAGCCCAAAACATCCTTTATTTCAATTAAAAATAAAACCAAGATAGAAAGACACGCCTTATGAAAAGGTTTTTCTCCCCTGTATAAAAACGCTACTTCATCTAATTACGCATATACGTTTTTTTGTCATAAGACGGCACAGATGTATCCATGACCTCCCTTCAGTTCGATACTCGTGCTTTGGCGATACTGGTATGTGTATTGAAAACAGTGGAGCAACCATAAAAAGCGGATGAGGTAACAATGTATTATTAACGAAGAGCTTTGAACAGATAAACGCGTCGATTGAACAGGAAATTGCTGGACTTTAATTTAAACGGCTCGCTTAATCACTTTTTAGGTCGCTGTCTGCAGATTTCGAATGAGATGCTTTCGGAGAAAATTGGACCCAACGGACTAATTTAAATTAAAGGCAGGATATTAAATCTCTCTGACACAAGCACAATGTGCATCGCGGAATTTGTGTAGATTTTTTTGTTTTCTTTTTCGTTCTGTGTTGGGTTTGTTTTTGTTTTTTTGGGGGGGGGATTTGGGGGGGGGGGTGTTATTGTTTTTTCGGTAAATGTTTTTCAGCGCTCGCACGTGCATAAGGTCATATGAGTGCGCGGTACACATTAATCAGTTGGTAGGAAATTTTGAATTTTGCCCGGGCGGCGGCTGAAGCCTACTCTTATCGATTTTGGACCACCAAGGGATCTTTAATATGCGCAACTTGCACACAGGACCTCCGAGGTTTTTCGCCCTTGTCCGAGAAGGCAAGATGTAGATCTTTCCTTCCAGAAGATCAGGGGCGTGGCTGAAAGACAGCAGTAAGAAGGAGCCAAGGAGTAGCTGTAGAAAGGCTGCAGAAAGAGTCAGGAGCCCAGAGGAGGGGGCGAAGGAGGTGAGGGGGTGGGGGCAGAGAGTGGAGACGAAAGCAGACGACAGAATGTCGGGGAACGACAGCCCCCAATTGTGGTTTGTTGTTGTTCTTTTTGTTTGTTTTGAGTTTGTTTTCTTTTGGGGGTATTTTTGTGTTTTGTTTGTTTCTTTCATTTTGTAGTTGCTGTTGGTGGGGGGGGGGGGGGGGGGGGAGTTCTTTTGGTTCTTTTTTTCTGTTTTGTTTTGTTTTTGTTCTGTTTTGTTGCTATTGTTTGTTGTGTTTTGGTTTGCTTTTTTTGTTTCTTTGTTTTTTGGTGTTTTTATTTTGTTTTTGTTTTTTGTAAGAAAAAGATTCTGTTTGTTTACCCTCTAACTACAGCTCCATATTATATATCCTCGATCAAAGCCTGTCACATCTCAGTACAATCTTCTTAACAACCATTATCTTTACCAGAAGACGATCACGTGTGTCCCATCTTGCCAGTCATTGGTGGACTATTGACTTACGTATTCCCTTTAACATATTATGTATCACTTAGTCGGCGATCTTAGTCTTAGGGGTACCACTAATAAGTTAACAACAAGATCACTCCACCGGCACCCCCTCCCCCCTCCCCCCTTCCACCAACACCACGCACACACACTCAAACATACACACACACACACACACACACACACACACACACACACACACACACACACATTTTTTACCCAAACGGTTAAGGATAACATTTATGAGATATGTGTCATGAATCATGTTCCTAAACATCCCTGGTCCCATGTCCAAACTATGATTGCTATGAAGGCTTCTAATACATGCACTTCTATAGAACAATTCTTCAAATCTGCACTGGAAACTAAAACCACAACAAAAAATGGAAATAAAACTCTATAAAGACGACCACTACAACAAGATAGACCTGTCGATAGCATTCATTATTCATCAAAAAAGGGCAATCAAAATCGAAATTTAGAAAGTCCTCATCTTAACAGGAAGAGCCGTGGAATAAAGTAGGCTAGAAGTAAAAGATAGTGATACGATCTTCGTGGGCTGTGGGAGATAAAGTGTTAGATTTCAAAGCCAGATTACAGGTACAGCAAAATGGCAATGGTCGGTCGATTTTCCAGAAATCGTTAGCCAAGGTATTGTTGGAAATTGCATAACGATTCGTCTTCTAAAAATCGTAGACTCGATTCCCCGCTTATGTTCAAAAGCCTGTCCCCGTGGTTAGTTTTACGCACCCAGCATATTGGGCAAAATTTGAAGAAAAAAAATTCATAATTTCTGATTATTTTCCTTTATCACTTTATCATTCTTTGTTAAAATTAACAGAATCGGATAATCAATGACTGAAGTGTCTTTAGGCCATTCCCAAAGGGGGGACTTTTCTCGTCCTTGCACAGTAGAATTGTAAATGGGCTGATTCATCAATGTCACACTCATAACTGTGCCTGATCTACAACAGGGAACTGCTGCTTTTTCTTTCCTAATTCCTAATCCTATTGTCATTTTCCTCTACTTCTTTTGTATGTTTGTCACTTTCTTGTGACACATTATTTCCGGGGTGCCTTGACTTGATAGTCGAAGGGGACTTTGCGCCGTTGAAGCTAGAGAGGTGAGCAGTCAAAGTCCGATTCCCTGTAAAGACTTCTCTGTTGACACCCACCCCTTGGCGCTCATATGACCTTATGCAGTTGCGAGCGCCGTAAAAACCTCTACTTTAAAAAAAAATTAAAACTACCGCAATAATGCTAGTGTGATGAAAATATTCCATTCCATTATGCAGTTGCGAGTTCCGTAAAACCTCTGCTAAATGAAAATAGCATAATTTCACATTTAGGGCTCAGTTTGCATAATTTCAGAATTTTTTTTTTACTTGGGGCCCTCCGTTCGGTATGCACTTCGCCTATTTTTAGCTCAGATCTGGGGTTTCTAGTCTCTGTGGGCTATACCTGACTGTCTAGTCTGTGGGCTATACCTGACCGTCTAGTCTGTGGGCCAACGTCTGGTCACCGTGAAATCATGCGTGAAGAAAGCTTGCTTGAAACCCTGTGGCACCCACCAACCACTGCCAACCACCAGGTTTTCTTGGTCTGTCTTTCCTGTCGTAGATGGACTTTAGATTTAGAGATCTAGCCTCTTCTTAAATAACCTTACAGTACAGCCAGTGTTGCTAGAGGTGTTAACCTATACAATTTCTCACATTTTTTTCACCATCCACAGCAACACTATGGGCCTCCCTCTCTGGTCTAGCTGTTAGACACCCTGCCGCAGCACACAGAGGACATGAGTTTGATTCCCATACCATATGATAAGGTTTTTCATCAAGTATCTCCATCTGTCTGCTAGGACGTTACAACTTACATCCTCTTGATCAGGAGACCCCAGGCAAGGTTGAGGCAGCCCCCTTCCTACATGATCTATATTGTGTTGGTGAGAGTGTAAAACAACCATTTAAGCTAAATCGTTCTACTTTATGGCCTTGGCGTCAGTCTCCTCAAGAGTTGAAACATAGCCAGTAGTTTAGATTTTGTTGTAGTTTGTAGTAAGCGTTTTACGTCACTTAGACTTGAAACACAAATAGTAATAGTAACACGTCATATAAGTAAAAGTGCTGAAGATTAGAGGTGTCACTAGAGAGTGACAAACAAAAAAAAAAGGAAGAAGGAAAAAGATAAATATGAAAGCTGCTTGATAGGACAGAAGTAGCAAACTACACTAGAGCACACACCAACCACCCACAAGCCAGTATTTATTCCAGCGGGTCACACAAAAGAACAAGCCGAGCGCTCAAACGTCAAAAAGATCTCATGTTTATTGATGTGTGAGAATCTACCAAACAGGCAGCCTCCCAGGATGCTCCGTCGTTTGGCTATGGAGCACGTGGGTCGGTCAACCGCTTCACAAAAACAAAACTCATTGAGTCGGCCAGTTAGCATGACGCGACCTCAGTGCTTTCTTGTCGTATCTTGTCATTTTTAAAATAAACTTTAAACAGTGAAAATGTGACTTCTTCTTCTTAAGCTCACTCTGTTATGAACTGTTTTCACTGTTTAAAAAAACTGGAGATACGACAAGGAAGCACTGAGGTCACAATGAGCCAACAGACAGCCCCTATGTAGTGGACGTGTGCCAGCAGATGTGCATATTATAACATACAATTTTTATTTATTTATTTATTTATTTACATATACATGAGATAGATGATAACCACGCGAGTCACACACATCCAAAGTGGCAACACACACCACAGGAGACACTGCAGACACGATGCTTTTTCAAATTAAAAAAAAAAAAACGAGAGAGAGAGAGTTAAAAACTCAAACTGACAAGAGATGAAAAAGAAGCATAATTTGCAACGTAATTGTTCCCTCTAGATATACAAGTCGTTATTTACCTCTACAACAGCAAGAGTGAAATCATTGTCACCGTCAAACGTCATCATTTATGAAAGTAACAATTAAAAACAATGACGATGAAGAACAACAATTACAAATAATAAGACAATTTGGTAGTAGCGATATACATAACAATAATGAAGCTCATAAAATTATGACAACGATAGTTATGATGTTAATGATGACAGTAAAAGCAAAATACTATGAAAGTGATGATGACGGTTACAGCAAAAACAGACTGAAGTAAACTATAGACACCCACAGTAGCACGAGATCATGAGAATCGGCACCGAGGTACAACAGTCGTAAATAGAACAAACCACTAGCTGCTGCACTTGCTCGTTGTAGTAGTTGTTATTGCTGTTGTTGTTGTGTGTGTGTGCGGTAGCCTATCCGCTTAAAATGTTTGGAGCCCCGAAGATGCAACATGTTGTTGTTGTTGTTGATGTTGATGATGATGTTGTTGTTGTCACAGACTCACAGAGCATGTACATGTCTGACAGAGTGAACCGACACCCCTGTCTAAATGAAGTACACGCCTACCTTTCTACTACCAATGTACGTGCCTTTATACTATTCTTCAGGTCTGTCAAAATAGTCAAATGTACATAAAACTACACAGTCGAATGTACAAAAGTAAGTTGTATATCTGCGACAAATGTACAGAAGTTCACCAAACAATTGTGTCAAATGTGCATTTAACGTACACCAAACCAAGATTCAAATGTACGAAGGTACACAAAACCACGATTCAAATGTACATAGGTACACAAAACAGCACGGCCGAGCCAAATGTACACAAGTACATCAACTATCTGCCTCAAATGTATGCTTACATTTCGTACAGAAAACATCTTGCATTAGGACAGGGCTGCTGATTACTTCAGTCTACAATGCTGTACTGTACGTAAGATCTAGCCACTCTTTGGCGTGCGTAACACACAACACCAAAAGTTCACATCGCTGCACGGAGCAGAATTCCCAACATTTACACAATCGGCGGAAAGCACATTGCATTCGCCTCTCTCATCCACCAACAGGCACTCTAGACACTAGATGAGATATGATGATGATGATTATAATGATTGATGATGATTGATGATGAGGATAATGAAGATGACGATGATGAAGATATAAACACAACTAGACACTGAGATCACAGAGCCAACAGGCTAGTAGTCTACTGCCTCTTTATGCGAGTGGTTTACGGTATTTAAAATTTAAAAAAGATCAGCGAGATGTATCGTCATCAACCGGTGACATAAATCTGGAACAGGAAGTACAACAACACAGACGTCGGTCGGTCCTCGTCAAGTCAACAGTGAACAAGGTCATAGCTTTGACTTAAGACGCTGTACGAAAATGTGATTTTTTTTTTTCTTTCTTTTTTCTGTTCTATTTTTGCTCGTAACCCATCACCGTTGCATTGATATGTGGAATAAGTCAAGACTTTTCAACGACAGACGCTTCGCTCTGCTGCCCTCACCACAAGTGACCCCACCCTCCATGCGAATTTTTTTAAAAATATTTTGCCTGCGACTTATCTCAAACACTAACAAATCTTGCGGCCCACGCTGTAATTAACTTTTGAGCTTGTTTCAACTTTGACAATTTCAGCATGATCAGCACATTCGCAGTTAAGTCCAAACAAGGGGCAACAGAATGAAGAGAGAACCATCTCAGGCTCTTGAGACGAGCGATATTTGAGAGGTGACAACTTGTAAAACAACCGAATTAACAAAGTTTTATTCCCCAGTTAAGAAATCTCTAATGAGAGAATGTAGGCAGATCTATACGAAGATGCAACGTATATTCAACTGTGGTGAGACAAAGTCTTGTCAATAAGTTAAAGACAAAGTCTTGTCAATAAGTTAAAGACAAAGTCTTGTCAATAAGTTAATGAAAACTGCTATCTCAAAACGGCTTCAAACTTAAATCAGATGACCAAACAAAGAGGTTGAATGTGAACTCCGAGAAACAAAACAACTCAAAAAGCTTCCACGAGACAGCAGCTCAAGTTCTGAAGTCGTGCAGGTGAAGTGGAGGTCAGATGGAGGGGTGGGTGTCAGGACAGATGCCGAGGTGGTGGGGAGGGGGGGGGGACGGAGAGTCTCCTGAAGCCTAGTCTTTCGAGAACAAGTCACGCATATCACACAGAGACTGCTGCAGAGTCGCCCCAAACTTGTGCGTGTCCTGTAGGGGAAATGAAAGAGAGAGAGAGTGAGAGTGAGACATGAATGAAAATATTTCAAAGAAAAGTCAGCCAATGGGAACATTTTCATGAGTAAGCCTATTTTGTAAATGCTGTAAAAATAATGACAAAGGGACACTGAACAATGGTTAGAACATCATCATCATCATATCTCATGAGTAGGCATTCCATGGTGGAATCCTGATCCTTATCAGATTTGTACATTTTTACATTATAATATAGACCTACAATTATAAACAAAATACAAATATAGGGATCAACAGATAAAATAAACTATTCTTCTCACCAGAACCACTACAACAAACCAATTCACAAAAATTTCTGGGCTGGTTTTAAGGCTCTAACTATTAACAACAATGTCCACTACCAAAAGGTTGGCAGAGGATACATTTTTTCCCAGAGAACGGAAATTGCAGACAATTTCATAACACCACAGAAGAAAAAACATAATATTGAATCAAAGAAATTTAGAAATAAAACTTCATTTATTTAAAAGACTGACCACATTTAAAAACACTGTGCCAAGTCACAATTCCATATCTAAAAATCCATCATTTCATCATTGGACAGTTTTGTAAATCATCCAAAAATAACATGATGGGTTGGGACATGGCCAGCTAAAAATAGACAGGATTCAGGATTCTCTTTCCTTTCTTCAGCAATTTTTCTCTGTGACTATCAAAGTTTTTGGCTACTGGAAGTACAAAATGGAGGAAATTTTGAGCAGTATCAAGAGCAGCAGATAACACGAACTGGAGACAAAGCGTTAAAGAGTAAGATGGGAAGACAGCCAGCACCCCCCACCCCTCCCACTTTCCTATCCACTAAAGCTGCTTGGCAGAAATATTCATGTCTTTTGCCGTACAAAAAATATAAAGAACAGCTTCATGAACCTTTTTCTTACAAAGGAAAGTGAGTAAGAATCATTCTGGACTACTCAAAATATATCTGTACAAGAAAAACACGGGGTGTAATTCAACTGAAAGAATTACACTGATTGCATTAAATATTCAGCAAATAAATCAGGTCAGTTCAATAAAGACTGTAATGAGAGCTAGGAGAGAGGAGGTAGACAGAAGTCAGTGGGGCGGGAGGAGGGAGAGGGAGAGAGAGAGAGAGAGAGAGAGTGGGGGAGAGCAATAGAGAGAGAGTGGGGGAGAG